AGCAAGAGGCCCCCGCCGCGGGCGGCCAAGCCCCAGCCCAAGGGGGTGCTGCTGAGGTTTAACTTCCGTGCGATGGCCAACCAGGTAGAGGACCGTCGACGGGACCGGTGGTGCCTTGCACCCTGCTGCAGCCCTGCCACTAAGCTGTTAACGCCACGCTCAGGTTTTTGGGGCTGCCAGCGGGGTTTATGTAGCATGACCCGGGAGGAGAGTCCTGTAGCCATGTTGGCTAGGTTGCTCTCAAAACCGAAGGCACCTGAGAAGACTGTTCAGCAACTACTGGCTCAGCCCAATTTTCCCCATGCTGTTGGCCCCTCTTGGCCTGTCCATGTGCTTGCTCGGAGCGGGGAGATGCTTCCTGTGGGCAGGCCTGGCCAGGGGCCATCGTTTCACTGTCGGTGCTCCCCACTCCTCACAGACACACAGCACTTCTGGGTTTTCCTCTCTCTTTGCTTTGGTGACCTTCTCAGTGCCACATTTTATGCTGAAATATGGTCCAGGAGCCCTGGCGCAGGTCAGAAATCCTGCTCCACCTTCTTCATTGCTGGCGTTTCTTGTCTGGACAGTTTGGTTTTACTTGATGCCTTGTGCTCAAATGCCATCTGCTTGCTCCTGCTCTTGCCGAGGATGCCTGGTGTCTTGGGGCTGGGCGCTGCTTGGAGGTTTTCCAGCCGCACACAGTCTGTCGAGCTCCGTGTCTCCATGTGCTGAGTGGTTTAATTGACTAACTGGCTGTGAAGCGCCATCCTGACTGATGGGCTCTAATCGATACCCTGCTAAAAGTTTGGCCGTGCTTTGCCACGAGACGCGGGACTGACTCGCTCTCCCTTTCCCCTGCAGACCAGCCTGACGCTGGATGAGCGGTTCTCTGGTCTGAGGAATAAGAGGCGCTTTACAGCAGCCAGGAGCGCCGGCCGGACAGTCACCATGCCTTAGCGCCGCATGCTTGTCACGGGGACTGCCCATAACAGTCCAGGCCCCGTAACGGGCAGCTCAATAAAGCTCGATAGATTTCCCCTGAGATAGCTACTTCGGCAATGTGCCGTCTCCTTCCTTACACACAGAATGAATGAGCGATTGAGGGCAGGGACAAGGCAGGACGAGGGTTAGGGCCAGAGCACAGGGCAGGTGGGATGTGAGCGGGGTGGTGGAGAGGGGTGAGTGGAGATGGATTTGCTGGGAGCGCTCTGCCGGGGAGCTGTGGGGCTGGCATCAGCCCTGTCCCACTATTGGGGCACCCTGTGCTGCCTGGGGTGACTCCAAGCGGGAGGGGGGACCAGCTCCACGCCGCAACCATGGAGCCTGCCCTGCATTGTCCCACGGTGGGACAGGGGTGAGGGCATTGTGCCTGCCCATGCGGGAGACAGAGTGGGGAGCGGAACATGTGTGGGGCTGAGGGTCATGTCCCAGCAGTGGCACCAGCAGGGATGCTCCAGCTGCCCATGTTCCCCACCCAACTGCTCGATTTGTTGTGTGTGCAGGCATCCCTGCCCGCAGGTTTGCAGTGTAAGACCCCTCCATCTTGAAAACTTCTCGCTCTGCCCCGATAGTCAGGCCTGGGTACCTGGCATTTCTCTTTGGTTTGCTGTGCTGTTCTGACTGCTGCTGCCGGCCCAGTTGCGGGGACGGGGTGAGGCGGGACGGGGTGAGGCGTGCCGTGCCGCCGGAGCGGCTGTCCTCAGTGTGGAGCACAGACAGGCTGCCCCGGCCCAAATCGGGTTTTCCAGTGCTGCAGTAGCTCTGTGTTAGGGATTTCGTAGGGGCAGCTCCACCCATGCTCAGAGCACCAGCATTATCGAACTAGCAGCTGCAGGAGGGAGGCTGGGCGCTACAGCAGACCGACAAATGTTGGCTGAGGTGTTAATGAGCTGGGTCTGGACATTCGTTAACAAAGCCCTGCACCAACCGTGTGTCACTGACCCATTCTCCACCCACTGCTGCAACCCAGCACCGAACACACTGGACACAGCCTGTTACTGGGCTCTAGGCTATACTTATTAAAGTAAATATTTGATAGACTGCTTTACATTTTACACCGAGTGTCTTTAACAAGAGACTGGACTTAGCGTTGGTTTTATAGGAATGTGTGAAATGTTGTTAGTTAACGAAGCGGTGATGTACGAGTCCAATGCATTGAATAAAAAACTAACCTGTCAAATGTCGCCTCTGGTTATTTCCCTTCCTTCAACAGATTTTTGGCGCAAGTTCAGCCTCTCGGTGTGGCACTGTGCGGCTGTGTGGGCTGCCAACTTGGCACTTCGGGGGAGGCCGTGGTCCCCGTCGGTCGCCGCAGGCAGTGGGGCAGCGGCCTGGCCGTACAGGCAGTTTGCTGCTCACAAAGCTGGCTCCAAAGCACAGCCAAAACAGCAGGAGGTTTTCAGCAGATATTTTGTAAAATCTTTGCTGTGATCTCTTTTGCCTTTAACATTATAGGCAAAATTGTCAGAGCAGACCTGGGTCTGAGTATGTCCAAAGAGAAAAGAATGCAAACTGACTTCCAGGTTAATGAACTCCGGAGAAGACATCAGCCCTTTGTGCAAATAATCCGGATGCCATGGAAGGTTAACAAGCAACCCTGTCACAAATGGCACTATGCCTGATTTCAGTTGCACCTTCACTATAAATACTGACAAAAGATGGTAGACTTGCTAAGAAAACTTCTTAAACCAGGTTGCAAAGGGATGGAGCCGTTCAGTCCTGAAAGAACAGCTGAGCGTGCAGCATCCCCTCGGTGTTCAGAGCACACCCTGATACTATTCTCCAAATAGATGTTTTTCAGCAATCTGTACCTTATGTTTTTTTAAGTATTCCTTAAATTAAAACCGAGGGCTTAATGATAAAAACGACACTCTTTTTCTAGCTTGATTCCTGCACAGGGCTGGGTGACTTTGCACGCAGCAAGAGACGGAAGAGGCTTCGCGCCGAAGGGCGCTGAATTTAGGAGTAGCGGAAACTCCTAAGCATGGCGCTGAGCACAGGCTGGGGGAAGGCGCGGAGCCCGTTCACTCCAACAGGCATAAACCCCGCTTTCCGCCACAGCACTAAACCCACGGCATTAAGTACCCGTAAGGCCCGCGCGTAGGGCGAGCTGCGGCGCGGAGCGCGGCTGCGCCTCGGG